CCATAAAATATACTAAAATAAATTAACAGATACCGCAATATCACTTTAATGAATATAATCAATGGAGAACAAATACCATTTAAAAACGAAGATATCGCATTCATAATTGCTTATGCGAATACGGATCTACAAAAATTCCGATTCGTTTCCCTGCTCATCACGGCAAGTTTGTTTTGCATTATGGACTGTGCTACTCATGCTGCACGGGTACAAGTGTAGTTTTGTAGTTGTAACCACAGTTCCACTCCTACTACAATTCAGTCCATGTTATAGACAAAACAAATTCCGGCAAGTAACAGAACAAAATAACTATTATTGAACTCAATTTGAAAAATATGTACACTATCAAAACAATATACATTTCGATGCGAATAAACGAACATATCACTAAGTAGATAAAACAAATAATGAATTGGTTACTTGGACGAATTCTCTAAAAATACGATATCCAAATTTCTTATTACCCGGACGAATTCTCTAAAAATACGATATCCAAATTTCTTAATAAATGAAATCATACTTGAACGGAGTGCTAGTGAATGACGCAAATGCTAATGAGGTCTGCGCCCTCATTCGCCCATTACGAGGAAGGCAGGAGGAACCAAGATGGCGGAGCTTCGTGAAACGGGTGGCGATGGTGTTGTTGAAGTCGGAGCAAAATCTACAGAACAGAAAGCAGAAAAAATGTTCAATTTAAAGAAATGGAACGCTGTTGCTATGTGGAGTTGGGACGTGGAATGCGATACATGTGCGATTTGCAGAGTCCAAGTAATGGGTAAAGAGAATATATTGTCTCTTGTACACCCCCCTGACCTCCATTGAGAGGTTTAAATATCAAAGCCGGGACTGAATGCGAGTCGTCGCGTACCCTGTCGATCAATTTGTACATACGGGCCTTTGTAAATTATTGTCGGCCATTTACAAGGGGTGCATATATCAACAACAGTTTTATTTTAGATGTGATTTTTTTATTATTTTCAAACAGAAGACATGTTAACAAGTCTGTCGGCCGTTTTAAATACTCAAAACCTTTAAAAAACATCACAACGTACAATTACCGCTACTTAAAATATCCTCAGATTGTTATGCTAAAAAAACAACTAAAAAACACAGTAAAGATTTTTTGTTTCTTACCTGACGGAAGTCAGCGCCGTGTCGGCCCCAATGGATGTCAGAGAGTTGCTCTGAATACTCAGAACTCTCCCTTTTAGAGTTGTGCATGTCTGGTAGAGACGGAGCTGCAGCCGCTGCATATTGTAGCTTTTTTTGTAAATCGTGACGTATGTGACCCTACTTTCATTCAGGTCACTGAATATTAATGATATAGTAGAAGACGTCACGTAGTCGATTGTCAGTTTGTGTGTCACTGTTTTTGGATCATTGATACAAGTAATGACCTGTGTCTGCTGCAAAATTATTTTGTTTGATCATGGTTTGATATACTAGTACTTAATAAATATTTAACTGATTAATTAATTAAGGTAGAGATGCAGTTTACCTGACAGGTATTTTAATTAGTTAATTAGGAAACCACAAAACTATATATTTTCGGAAAGCTTATTGTATGAATTTTAAAATTTTGTTAGTTTTTTTTTTTATGAACACTGGTTTTTTGGTCAAAAGTGATTAAAAAAAATTAGCTTCTAAACCATGCTTCTGTTTCCTGTCAAAATTGGTTTATGGGTACATCTGTTTACTATGAAGAAAGTGCCCTCTTGAAAACTGTCTACCAGTTGTTAATTTTGCAGGGCAGCAGCTCAAATTTCACTACTTCAAGTTTATGCATAAATTAACACCCATGCGAGTTGTCTGTACGATTGTTGTAACACTGTTCAACTAAAAACAATGCCCCAACAGCGTTTTGAAGATAAACACATTGTCAATCATTTGTGAAAATTTCAAAACAAAAGGTCAAAGCGTCTAGGAGCCAATTTTTTTTTTACGTTCTGGGATGTGCACTAAAAAGAAGCTGAGATAATTGCTAATTTGCATAACAATTCACTCAATAAGAAGTTTGCTAATGCTCATAATTAAAATGGCTGTAACAGTTCCAAATTTAAATGTATTATTGTTTTGTTAAAAGTTAAATATAGTGCATAATATGGAGATCCCGTCATTTCTTTGTTTCACCATGTTTCTTTTTTATTATTTATGTACAGCCTTGCTAATTCTTGCTATTCAAAAGAGAGAATGTTTTCACCTGTTATCTATATTTTAAAATCGTTTTTTGAGTATGTTCCACTATTCACAATTCTACAAAATTTTAACAGTCAATAGTCAAGACTGTTTGGATAATAAAAAGCAAAAAAAAAAAAAATTTCACTCCCAAGTGCCCATGAACCTGCATCTCTACCTTAACTCATTAAAAAAAGACATTTGTTACAGATGCGTGTTTGCGATGTCAAGCTGAGAATAAACAGGAAGATTGTGTGGGTAAGTGGAAGTGTAAATTTTATGAATAAATATGAGATTATGTTTATATTAACATACAGCAAAATACAAGTAGTTAATTTTTGCTGAAAGGGGTAATTTAATAAAAAATAAAAATCCAGTGAATATACCATTTCCCCTACATTCAACTCCAGTGGAAATAAATTCCATACAAAACACCAAAAAAGTCTTTTGAGTGTACTATGATTGTATGTGAAGCTGATAATTAAAGTGATAATTTTAAAATACACTCACAAAAATACCCATACAACATTAATAAGAGTATTTATACATCTGTCACTGTAATGCCATAAGTTAATACAGTGTGTCGTAATTTTGCGGTATTTTATGGGGTATTTTCATCCTACCATATTAGGAAATGCAAATTCCGAATATGAAATGATTACGCACATACGTGTCCTCTAATAATAAAAACAAACATGGCTGCCACCAGAGTTTGACCAGACTCCCCACAAAGAAGTTGGGCTAATCTGCACTGGCTCGGAAGGTTGTAAATGATTAGCTAGTTTGAATTTGCATAACAATACTGACAATGAACGTGCATTCAACGCCACAAGTTTTTTGTTTTTTTAGCCAATCAGAATTCATCTTCCGAGCCAGTGCAGATCAGCCGAAGAAGTTCGCTGATTCTGTTCTAAACATTTTGAATTTCGGCATTCCCATGGGGAATACCTCAAAGTATGCTCTCAGACAGTAGGCTGTACATCAACCTCCACTGGGCATCGGTCGATACTCCAGCTGTACTGTTTTTGTGCATACTTTGAGGTATTCTCGTAATAACCTTATATTATTATATAACCCGGACAAAAAAAAACATTATTTTTCCTTGTCATAATGATGCATTTTTCTGATCTGTGTGACTTCATGTAGAAATCCCAATACATGAGATTTGAAGTTCACAACTGGCAGTTTTGCAATATTAGGAATTGTCAACTTGTCCATAGGGGCTGCAGGATAATGGGAGTCTTTGCAGTTAGTGTGTCTGTATGTGTGTGTGTGTGTATGTGTGTCCGACTGTTCCACTGCTATCTCAAGAACCATACATCGGTTTTTGATGAAACTTGGTGCATAGATGCTCTGGGCCAATGCGCAGATTTGATTAGGTTTTGGTAAAAATCCATGCATGTTAATTACCTAATTTGCATGATAATTAGCTAATTTTTAGCTGTTCTATGATTGTTCCACTGATATCTAAAGAACCACTCATTCGATTTTGATGAAACTTAGTACATAGATACCCTGATCATATGCGCAGATTTGATTAGTTTTTGGTAAAAATCCGTGCATATTAATTACCTAATTTGCATGATAATTAGCTATTTTTTAGTGGTTCCATGACTGTTCCACTGATATCTAAACAACCACTCATTGGATTTTGGTGAAACTTGGTACATAGATGCTCTGAATTAATGCTAGGTTTTGATTAGTTTTTGGTATAATCCATGGATACTAATTACCTAATTTGCATAATGATT